TGCTTGCATTAGCACTCAGGCCACAGTGTGTGCAAAGGTGAAAAGAAGGCAGGGGTCTCCAGAGTGGCTGGCTCCTGTGCCCCTCCACCATTCAGAACCTAAAGAAGGATAGGGCTTCGTTCATCATGGGCCCCCTACAGACCACAGCAGATGGCTATTGCAGAGGAGGGGCTTGGCAAACATTTGTTGGATGTGGAGTCATGAATACATGATGGACAAGAACCCCTGGAAGGTACCACTCAGCCAACCAGCAACAGTGTTTGGAATTCCTCTGCAGTCTCTCTTTGGGTTAAAATTTTCTGTTACTACAAAGAAGGGTCTATCAACACAGCCCAGCAAGAGGCCTTCAATAATCAGAAAAAGAGAGACACTCTGGGGATGCACATTAGGTAGGGCCAGCAACTGTCCTTTCTCCTCAGGTACATGGACACTAACCAGAGACCCAACCAAGGACATCCAGCCAAGCACTGAGTAGAGGCCACTTCCTCAAAACTGTATGTCACCTGTAATCCCAGCACCAGAGGCAGGAGGATCAGGAATTCAAGGCTAGCCTCAGCTACACAGTAAGTTCCAGGCCATAACAGGCTACATAAGATCCTGTCTCAAAAACAAAAACAAAAACATGTAGCTACTCAAAGGAAAGGCTGGTATTCTGGATCAAGAAAGAGGACATGCCAGGCATGGTAGTATACGCCTTTAATCCCAGTACTCAGGAGGCAGAGGCAGGTGGATCTCTGTGAGTTCAAGGCTACAGGGAGACCCTGTCCCCCCCCCAAAAAAAGACATGATACCCAAGTTAGAATGTATCAGACTCCCCACTCTGACTGCCAAACCTCTAGAAATTCACACACACACACACACACACACACACACACACCCCAAAACTCCAGTCAAGGCACTCACTTCCTGAGGTAAAAACTGCCAAGTACTGAGAGGTGCTGTCAATGGTGTGTGTGACACATGTGAGCAGTGTGGAGGCTACCAGCAAGTTGAACGGCACTGTGTCAAGCCATTAGCACCTCCTAACAAAGCAATTCTTAGCCTTTGCTGTACGTAAAAATAATCCAGAGGTGCTGTTGTTAGCACAGCTGGAGCTGCACACACCTATTCTGGATCAGTGGGTGTGAGATGTTGACCTGGAATCTGTATTAATAATGGGCCTCTATCAAGGTGGGGCAGATATCATGACCATCCTATTTGGAGCTTATTTCTATTTCATTTGTAGAGGGTCTTTGGGACTCTCAGAGCCTCTTTGGAAAATCAGTGAGGGGTAGGGGACACAAGCCAGAGGGCTGGGAACAAAAGAAGACTATACCCACTGAACCTTGCCAGAGGCCAGTCCTGCTGCAGAGCTGCCTACCCCAGCATGACTGATTAAGCCTAGCTAACGACAAGCACCTCTGGATTATTTTTATGTCCAGCTGCTTAGAGAGCCCACCCCCATGCAGCTGGCACCAAGCACTGACAAGAACATTTATTTCTCAACAGGTTTCCTGTCTGTGTCCTCACCTGGTCCTGGCAGCAGATGGAAGCAACAGCCAACTGCATTCACCCAGTAAAGAAATTGAGGCAGGCACATGGCATAGGATGAAGTTTGCACCAGGGAGACAGGGGCAAGAGCACCTGCTGCCTGCCAAGCAATATGGAGTCCCATCCCACATCAGCGGAGCTCACAACTGCTCAGATTCAGATCAGAATGGGCCTGCGTGCTACCAGGTGCCAGGATCTGACCCACATGTCATGTTTCCCCAGTGGGCATCCTGGGGTTCCCTGGCTCCATGCTTTGTAAACTAGGACCTCCATCTCACTTCTTCTAGACCTTTCCCAAGAACTAGCTCCTGCAGAACCAAAAATTGAGAGCTGATTTTCCAGAAAGTCAGTTCTACAAAAGGTCAAGAAACCAGAAGGAGGGTCTAGAGAGATGGCTCAGTGGTTAAGAGCACTGGCTGCTCTTGCAGAGGATCCGGGTTCAAATTTCAGTACTCACATCTGTCTGTAACATCTGTCTGTAACTCCAGTTCCAGGGGATCCAATGCCCTCTCGTGACCTCTGTGGGCATTGCACGACATGGGTGCACTTACCCGCACATACACTTGTAAGTGTATGCAGGCAATACACTTATACACATAAAATAAAAATAATAAATAACATAATTAAAGGAAGCCAGATGCTGGGCGCAGTAGTGCATGCCTGTAGTCCCAGCCCTTGGGAGGCAGAGGCAGGCAGATCTCTGTGAGTTCAAGGCCAGCCTGGTCTACATAGTGAGTACCAGGACAGCTGGGGCTATAGGGAGACCCTGTCTCAAAAGAAGACCAATAAATAAATTAAATTAAAAAGTAAAAAAGAAGCCAGGAGGAACTGGTCAGTCCCACCTCTGTCCCAACCCCTGTGAACCCAGGGATCAGACTGGATTTTAAAAGAGCATAGATCAGAGGTCAATATGTCCCAGCCACCACCCGCCCCATCTCTCTTGCTAGTTACCTGACCACCTGAAGCCTCAGGTTCCCTATCTGCAGGATGATGATCACTTCCTCTTGCTCCTCACTGAAGGAATTGTGAACAGGCTGTTCTGCAGCTATGTCTTGATTCCTGTATCACTACACAGTCATCTTATGCAGTCACCTCTTGCTACCTCTGGCACTGCAAAAATGGCACTGTACCTGTGTAAGGACTAGAATTTGAGCCTCCCCTGAGTCCAGGCACCTCTGTCTTTTCGGTGACCTTTGACTCTCAAGAAGGCTAACCATCCTCTCCCAGCACCCAGACTGCCAGTCCAGGTCAGGTCATCCCCCTAATCCCTGAAGCTCTGGCACCCTTTCCTCCTCCCACCCCAGCTGACTGTCCCTATCCAAGAGCCCCATGAGAATTCTGGGGAACAAGGCTTTGCCTGAGCACCCAGCTCTACTCTCAACACCCCCAAGTCTCTTCCCCCACAGAGGGAGAAGGCAGAGTGAAAACATTTTTAAAAAGTTGTTTGAGGGCTGGAGAGATGGTTCAGCGGTTAAGAATACTGGTTGTTTTTGCAGAAGACCTGGGATCATACCCCAGCACCCACATCGCAGCTAACAACTGTCTATAACTCCAGTTCCAAAGGATCCTACAGCCTCTTCTGTCCTCCATGGGCATTGCATGACACGGGTGCACTTACCTACATGCAGGCAATACACTCATACACATAAAATAAAATAACATTGTTTGAGACAGGGTCTTGCTGTGTAGCCCTGGCTGGCCTAGAACTCTCTATGTAGACCAGGCTGCCCTTGAACTTGTAGCAATCCTCTGCCTTAGTCTCATGAATACTGGTATTACAGGCCTTTGCCACCATACCCAGCCCTCACTTGGGTTTTAATTACAGCTCTCACCAACCATCAGCCATCTTTGCCCATTCCCTGTACCTGAGCCTCAGTTTCCTTAACTGCAAAATGAGCAAGATGTTCTGCCTCCATACTGGGTAGTCAAGGAATCTAGAAAACGATGGCTGGGGACATTCCTAGCATAAGAGGAGCAGGCTGCAATCCAGTACTCAGTACACATACACACACACACACACACACACACACACACACACACACGCGAGAGAGAGAGAGAGAGAGTTGGAGATGTAGCTCAGTGGTAGAGTGCTTGCTAATATATGAGACTCTAGGTTTGATCCACAGTACCACGAAGAAAAAAGAAAGAAAAAAAAATGAAACCATCTAATGCTCCATTATCCTTGCTACTAAAGAGTCTAGTCTTCCAAGAAAAGGAAGAAGATAAGGCCAACGTTGTCAAGTCCCTCATATCTGTCATGTGGGGCCTCACCACATTGCTGTGAGGTTGAAATTAGTTCTATTTCACAGATGAGGAAACTGAGGTTCAGGGACTCAAATGGCCCACCAGAATGTTGAGCTAGAGGCAACAGAGATTGTCTCCTCTCCCATCTCTGCTCCTCCGCCTTCATGGGGCTTATGGTGGCCCCTTCATCCAGATTCAACAGAGGGACACAGCCAAAAAGATAAGCCTTTCCTACACGTCAGTGGAAACCACAGCGTAAACAGGACTCCATCTGTGCCAGGGCTTTCCGAGGACACACCTGTATAAGCAGCAGTCTGTTCCCAGTAGAGTTGTTCCCAGAAAGCTGTCAGGGATGTGTTTAGTTACCTGGCCAGAGGAGGCTTGAGTGTGGCACCTTGCCTGTGCACTCATCACACAGGGGAGGGTCTCCTCTATGATGGTCCTGCTGCCCTCTCCCCTCCTGACCAAGCCCTGGTCCTTACCCAGCCTGACTTTCAAACCACCCAGGGACTGAATGGGAAGCCCATTCCAGGTCACAGAGGGCTCGAGGTTACATGTAACCTGAGAGGAAGTGAACATACTGTACCAGCAGTGTCCTGGGACAGCCGAGGGTGCACATGCCCTACTAGGTGTAAACAGCCTGTTCCTGCTTTCCTAGGAGGGTGCATTTGTGAGTGGTTTGGTGGTCTGCTCTCTGCCTCCAAGCAGAAGGCAGGAGTTTGAGTTCAGTCCACATCCCCCAATGGTCTATGGCTGGGGGTTCTGTTAGGTGTGCACCAACACGAAAGACCGTGCCTCCCGGGTATCCTTGGGTACATGTGTTTCATAGGTGTATGTGCAGGCTGGGGAGGTGCGTTGTGTCACAGACTTTACATGTGTGTCTGTATCCCGTAGCCCCGAGTGGGTGGTCATTTCCACTGAGTGTGCACACGTTTGTATGTGTTTGCAGTGCTCTTGCACAACTACATGTGTCCGGCAAGAGTGAATGCAGCCCCTCACGTACTGGCACGCAGGACCTGCAGGACCCTGCCTCCCCGCTTGAACAGTGAGTGTGCATGAGGGAAGGAGCCGGTGGCCCTGCAGACCCGAGTCTGTGTGTGCTCGCCGTGTGAGCGGGAGTGAGTGTGGCAGCTCCACTCGCTCGCTCTGCGCCCGCCCGCGCAGCACACTCACTGCTTGGTTGCTACCGGGTGACGCGGGCTGGGCCCGCCCCCTGCCTGCCGGCCCCACACTCACTCGGCCCGCAGCCGCCGAGCAAGCAGCAGCAGCTTCGGGGCCGTCCGGGGACCGCGCCCGCAATGCCTGCAGCCCCTTACGCGCCCCGCCGGGCCTGCTGAGCCACCCCCGGGCCGGGGTCGCGCCGGGCCGGGCCGCGCCCGAGCGGGGCGGCGCTGCCTGCATGACCCACCGGCGGCGAGGGGAGAAGGCGACCATCAGCATCCAGGAGCATATGGCCATCGACGTGTGCCCCGGGCCCATTCGGCCCATCAAGCAGATCTCCGACTACTTCCCCCGCTTCCCGCGGGGCCTGCCCCCGGCCGCCGGGCCTCGCGCAGAGGCACCTCCCGACGCCCCCGCACGACCCGCCGCGGCCAGCGCGGGCCACCGCAGCCCCTCCGACGGCGCCCGCGACGACGACGAAGATGTGGACCAGCTCTTTGGAGCCTACGGCGCCACCCCGGGCCCCAGCCCTGGCCCCAGCCCGGCGCGGCCGCCAGCCAAGCCACCCGAGGACGAGCCGGACGCCGACGGTTACGAGTCGGACGACTGCAGTAAGTTTCCAAGTCTCAGCCGGGCGCCCCTCCCCACGCTCCGCCTGCCGGGGTCCCCGCAGAGCATCCTCCCTACACCGCGCCCGCCCGTGTCCCTGCAGAGCATCCCGCCGGACCGCGGTCCCGCAGAGCATCCTCACTGCACGGCGCCTGCATCCCTGTAAAGCATCCCCTTGGCCGCCCGATCGCAGCCCCGCGCTCGCTCTGAGCGCTCCCTGCGCGCTCCGCAGACCACCCGGCGCCCCCAGCCCCCCTGGCCTGCACGCTGGAGCTGGGAAGTTTGGGGGCGCCCTCTGGGGGCGTCTTATTTCCCGGCCCCGGATCCTGGGAGCCTGCCCCGCGCCCCCCTTCGGCCCGCGCGTCCGGAGCTCCGGCGCGGGCGGCGGCTTTTGTTCCCCGGAAGGGCGGAGCTGCGCCCCAGGGAGACACCAGTTGCTGCGGGCCGCGCGGTCGCTCCCGACCGGAGAGCCAGCGCCGGGCGGCCGGGCGGTCCGAGAGAGGAATTGGGCAAGCTGAGGCCAGCCCCGCTTCCTCGGTGAGCCCGGCGGCCCGCACAGCGCGGCAGCTTTGCTAGTGCGCGGGCTGAAGAGGACCAGGGGGCGGCTTGTCCTTTGGAGAAACCTTGGCGGTTCCTCCTGATGTTTTCGCGGACCCCGCCACTGCACTGGCCCAGGTCGCCCACCTTCGCTCACCTGTTACGCCGGCTTCCTGGGGCAGAGAGTACCCAGTCGCGACCCCTCCTCGGAGACTGAACCTCAAGGAGCGAGGGGACGCCAGCGTCCTCTGTGCTGGGGCCTGGGCAGGGTCCCTAACGCGGCCCCTGGCGCCTAGTATGGTCCCTGAGTGTGCCTGCCGCACCCAACCTGGGACCATCGGGGAAACCCAGGTGGGAAGAGGACGCTGCTCGTGTCCAGTGGGTTTGTGCGGGGTAGGCGTGGGGTGTCGCTGCGTGGAAGGCCCTCAGCCCAGCTGTGGCCCAAGCAGCTTCACTTAGACCTAGAGAGCCAGCCTCAAAACCCAGTCCTGGGAGCAAGGTAGACTTGTGGGGCGTGGGTCTGGCGCCTGCTTCTCCAGGTCGCTGATAGTCCTTGGTGCAGCATTAGTGCCTGTGTCTGGCCTGGGCAGTCACCTGGGCCTCCGGGCTAGGGCCTGACTTTCCCCCAACATGCATGCCTCTAGAAGCAGAGTTCATTGTGTCACTGCTGGCTCAGACCCCTCATCTCATTCCAGAGAGGCCATCAACAGAGGTGGGTCAAGCCCTCATGAACACAGCCTGCTGTGATCTTTCTTGGCCCTCTCACTCAGGGCATGTCAAGGCCCTGCCTCCTGGCATGGGTACTGGAGAACAGGCCTCACCGGCTGCTTTCCTGCAGGATGGGTGGGCAGAGTTTATTGCCTGCAGGGCTATGTCCTGCATCTGCCTCACAGGCCCAGTTCCTGACAGCCTGTTCAAGGCTCCTGGATGGTTGGCCCCCCCTTTGGGGAGGTCCTAACTGGGCTACCCTCAGCCTCTGGAGGATACAGAGCCACTCTGAGAAGAGTGGGAAACTGTTCCTATTACCTATATCCTGCCAGCTGCCAGGGGAGTGAGCAGGTGGGTGGGACTTGTGCCTGAGCTTCAGACCACCCTCCCGGTCCCCCAGTGGCCCTGTGAATGGCATATGGCCAAAAGGAGAGAAATTTAGTCATTACTTTATGGCTATCCCCAAATCCACCAGAAAGAATACAACTCCGGCCAGCAGCTCCATCTTCAATCCATCAACTTCACAGTTGTCATGGAGCACTGTCTCAGTAATTGGGAGTGGGGCAAGAGGAAACAGGACTGGGTCCTGGGCGCAGGCTACAGGTGTCCTAGCTGGGGACAGACATGAGCTAGGTGGCTAACAGGGCAGGCCTAGATACAGGTTTTCCAGTTTGAACTGGAGGTTACCCGCACTAACAAAATACAGAAAAGCAGTCTGGAGGTTGCAGAGCTAAGAAGGTGGCTATGAAACTGAGCCAGGAGGCTTGTTTCTCATCTGGATGAGGAGCATGGAAATCTTGGCTCTTGTGGATGAGGAAACCTTGCACAAGCCCATCCTGTACCTGGTACCCCAGGCTGTGCTCCCTCTGAGCTCTGACAACCAGATCCTTAGAATAAGCCTAAGTGATTTGAGCCAGATGGTTCATTATGGCTTTAGCCAGGGCTATGCTATTTGCTGCCCTAATTATTGGATTATCTGTTCTTACAAAAAGAAATGAGGGCGGCTGCTCTGTTGTCCAAGTGGTGGTTGAAAGGCTGCTTGTTTGCTTGGCTCTGTTCCCCTCTTTATATCCCCTCCCTTTTTGATTACCCCAAGGCACGTGTATGTTCATACACACACACACACACACACACACACACACACGACCCTTGTGTTCACTGCCAACCTTAACAGGCCAATGATAGAAAGGAAACACCTGAGTCCTGGGTTCCTCTGTGTCTCAAGCTGCCTGTTTCCTGCCCCTGACACCTGCTCCTGTGGTCCTGCCTCCCCATCTACAGAGGGAACCTGACCCCATCCTCCCAAAGTTGTAATCACTAGGAAACTTTGGGATGCAAGTTCCATAAAATCAATTCAGAATAGCTTAAAGAGGACAGTAGAGGTCCTGCTGCAGGACCTGGGGTACACTGTAGCAGCCCTTCAGCACCCAGTCTTTCCACTCAGCCAGCTCTTTTCTTCTTAGGCTGAAAATCAGAGCAGATTTCCTATTTCCATACGGGTGAGGAGATAAAACCACAGTCCCAGGAATACTGTCAGTCTCCATCAGCAAAGCAGGATGTTCATGGTCCAAGGCAGCTGCTGTGGGTCCAGGTATCATATGCAACAGAAGATCCTAGTTTTGAGAAGAACCAGTTTCTTCCCCCATGTCTAGGACTAAGAAACTGCTCTTAGAAGTTCCCAGGAGACCTGTCCTTTTGTCTCATTGGCCAGAAATGCATCACATGTCCCTGTTCTGCATGACTCACTCAGCTGGGTCAGGACAGGTACTCATGGAGGTCTGGAACACACCGAGGTCCTACCAAAGAGCAAAGATGAGGTAGAGGAAGCTTTGTTGGGTCTGCCTGGAAGGCTCTCCTGGGCATGGGCAGATCCCAGTTCTTGCTGTATGTAGTTCCTTTCTTCACACCTAGAACTTCTGTGGGCCTCAGTCATGTTCTGCCCAGACCTGCCATCATATTCTTATACATTCAACAGCACAATACCAGCTATGTGCCAGCACTGTGCCAGGCACAAAGAATTAAGCATGGGCTAGACCACAGTCTCTGGTCTCAGGATGTTCATAGAAACCCTTCAAGGGGACCAGCAGGGAGGGACAGGGAGATGGAAACCTGTAGGAGAAGTTCTGGCTTACTTTAGAGTACCCAGAGAGGACTATGCTCTGAGGCTGGGGGGAAGGGGAAAGGAAGGAAAAAAGACGGCCCAGGAACTAAGTGTGGAAAACACAGCCCAGTAGGGGCACAACCATAGAACCAACAGCCTCTGCTGTTGCAAAGGGAAGAGACTGATAATGGGGTCAAAGGGATCATATCACAAAAGGGCTTGAATGCCATACTAAGAGTCTGGGAGGTGATTTGGTTTGGAGCAGCTTAAGGCAAGAAAATAAGATGTATAAAGTCCTAGCTCTGAGAGCAGGAGCATATCATTCACTCTTCTGCCTCTCCCACAGTGCCTCCTGATACAGTGCCTCAGTTTTCCCACCTACAAAATACTTTCAAATCAGGCTTGATAATGTTCTGTAGTTCTTGCCAGTTTAAAAACAAATGTTGCCGGGCGTAGTGGTGCATGCCTTTAATCCCAACAGTCGGAAGGCAGAGGCAGGCAGGTCTCTGTGAGTTCAAGGCCAGCCTGGTCTACATAGTGAGTTCCAGGACAGCTGGGGCTACAGGGAGACCCCCGTCTCAAAAAGACAAAAAAAAAAACCTTTATTATAAAAAATTTTTAATTTACATTTATTACAGTTATGCATGTGTATGATGTGAGGGGTATGCATGCCACACCACACATGTAGAGGTCAGAAAACAGCTCTGTGGAATCTGTTCTCTCCTCCCTTTTATGTGGGTCCCAGGTATTGAACCTGCAAAGCAAACAACTTTATCCAATGAGCCATCTTGCCTGTCCCCTATAAAACTATTCTAGAGGCTAACATTTTTCTTTAAAAAAAAAGAAAAAAAAGAAAAGACAGATTCCCAAGGAAGGTCAGGCAAGTTCAAGTGCAGACCAAGGTCATGGCCAGGCTGTCTGTCTGCACTGGTTCCACTGGGGGACACTCAGCCTTAGAGAATCCAACAGGGGCTTGAGCTTGATTCTCTCTGAATTAGCCCCATTAAAGCTCTATAATTATCAGCAAGCCAGTGACAACTCTCAAAGGCCCATTAGTGACCAACCTTCATTATTTTTCCAAAGATGTAAACTTTCATCAGGGCACGTGATCTGAGTGGCTCTGAGGGCAGGGCCTGCAGAATCCTGGGGTTCACAGAGAAGCAGTGTCTCCTGTCCTTCTGGTCTTGCCACTGCTACTACCACCACAGCCACCTTACTTGGGTCCTTCAGGGCAGCAGTGAGCCCTGCCCCTGACCCATTGCAAAGGCTGGAACCCAGGGCTCTGCTCATTCAAAGCCAGGGCTGTACTGCTGAGCCATACCCCAGCCCCTTGCTTTTGTCCTTTGTTCTCTGGCTGGCTGCATCCCTTAAGGACTTCAGTTACACAAAGCAGCAAAGAGTAACTTTCAGGAAGCCACTAGACTTTAAGACAGACTCTCCAGCTGTACTAGGCCACCCTGACCAGGTCACCTCCCCTCTCTGAGCCTCATTTCTGTAAATGGAAAGATAAAACTTTGAATCATATGTTCCATAAGACAGCTCTTCCTCCACCCCTACAAGTCTCAAAATGGTAACAGAGCTTCCAGTGACAAAGTAGAATTTCTTATAGAACTTTAATGGAGTAAAAGACATTTGTGAATCCCTTTCAGGACACAC